AGAATGGTGTGAAAAGGGAAACACATCCAGTATGCGGCACTCCTATGGGCGAAAATGCCTTGTTGATGCTAGAGGTCAGAGGAGAATGGGCCGACTGATTCAAGCTGATAGAAGAGCAACTTTGACTGAAATAACCACTCGTTACAACCGAGGTATGCAGCAAAGCATTTGTGAAGCCACAACACGCACAACCTTGAGGCGGATGGGCTACAACAGCAGAAGACCCCACCGGGTACCACTCATCTCCACTACAAATAGGAAAAAGAGGCTACAATTTGCAAGAGCTCACCAAAATTGGGCAGTTGAAGACTGGAAAAATGTTGCCTGGTCTGATGAGTTTCGATTTCTGTTGAGACATTCAGATGGTAGAGTCAGAATTTGGCGTAAACAGAATGAGAACATGGATCCATCATGCCTTGTTACCACTGTGCAGGCTGGTGGTGGTGGTGTAATGGTGTGGGGGATGTTTTCTTGGCACACTTTAGGCCCCTTAGTGCCAATTGTGCATTGTTTAAATGCCACGGCCTACCTGAGCATTGTTTCTGACCATGTCCATCCCTTTATGGCCACCATGTACCCATCCTCTGATGGCTACTTCCAGCAGGATAATGCACCATGTCACAAAGCTCGAATCATTTCAAATTAGTTACATGCCAATGAGTTCACTGTACTAAAATGGCCCCCACAGTCACCAGATCTCAACCCAATAGAGCATCTTTGGGATGTGGTGGAACGGGAGCTTCGTGCCCTGGATGTGCATCCCACAAATCTCCATCAACTGCAAGATGCTATCCTATCAATATGGGCCAACATTTCTAAAGAATGCTTTCAGCACCTTGTTGAATCAATGCCACATAGAATTAAGGCAGTTCTGAAGGCGAAAGGGGGTCCAACACAGTATTAGTATGGTGTTCCTAATAATCCTTTAGGTGAGTGTAATTCAAACTAGTCTCACATAGCCAAATAGTCTCAAATATACTTTATAATTAAACTATCATAACAGTGTGATTTTAATGACCTCATCCGTCGACATAATGCCGTGCAATTGCAGAACTGATGCAAACATTCACATCTCTATGATCAGATGCTTTCTTAACTGCCGCTTTCTCACTGCTGACATTTTTGTTGTTTATTTTGTTATTAAGAGGAGAGCGTTCAGCACATTTTACATATTCATCTTACAGTCGCTCTCAGCAGTGTGGATGCGGTCGAGATGTTCGTTAAGAGTCAATCGCTTCTTTTTCCTTCTAAGCAAAGAACGAAAAAGAATTTGTCGCTAGAATATCAGGCGATTGAATCGCGTTCGGTCTCTTGAACGTTACGTGTGCAATAAGTTGCTGTCTGCAGTTCACTTAGCGGCCACCGGTGTCGCTAAAACAAGGGTTCTGAATTCTACCTTGGACTTTTTTACATTACCACACCTGTAGGTCTACGTGGTGAAAAATATATCAATATATATATATATATATATATCAATTTTAACAGGGAATGCATAAATGCGTGTAATACATACATTTCCCTGTTAAAGTGTAAAAAAATATATACTCTCTGAAAGTAGAAAGCATATAAATAATAATATTTTAATTTGGTGAAAATCAGGAAAATATACATCCCCAGAAGTGTGTGACACATTGATTATATCTAAAGACTAAAATGCTTTTATTAGTGTGTTTTTTTATGTCAGATATGCACATCAGGGTGTTTTATGTTACATTTTACGCAGTTTAGTTTATTGCATTATTTTAGTGTGATGTGTGTTACCTTGATGACCGTTTGTCTTTAGTTGTGTACCAAATGACGCACTATACACTATGTGTATAGTCTAGTATGTACTCAACCATGTAGTGTGTGAATTGTATAAGGTCACTTTGTCATTCATCACTGGAGTCTCCAGACTCTTTGTGTTGGTGACGTGCACTGGCTATATGTTTATTAGTTCTGATTCATGAAAAATAGTGCAATTTAATGCTCACACTGAAAAGTCACTACAGTTCTCAGCGCAATGTGTGATGTCATGAGAGATGTGCAATGTCACACAAGCATGGCCATTGTCGGGGTCTATGGCACCTGCAAATAGTTTTTTTCACCCATCTGCAGTAACACATCCCCCAACTACTCAATAACAGAACCGCTGATGTTACCGTCAGTGATGCACTGCATGCGTGCGTGTGTGTGTGTGTGTGTGTGTGGCAGAGGATCAATAATCATTCTGATACTGCAATTATGCTTCCATCACTAATTAAACTGTTGTCTTCATGAGTTTTTCAGACACCCATTTAGTGAAATCGACACAGCAGACAGGAAATGACAGCATCATTTTCAATTTAGTGACATTATACAAGCCGTTAATTTAATATACTGTAGAATCTCATGTTATTGCAAGAGAAACACTCTACTTTTAATTTATTTTCAGTATAACATACACAATTATAAAAGTATTTATTTCTTATTTTTTCTTCTTAACAAACGCTTAGTCTATTAGTACTGAGAGAGACTGTTAATGCAGCTAATGCAACACTGATAAAATATAAATGAGTTTCTCTGGAAAAATAATGCAACGCTTATTCTGATGAGCAATTATTCAGTGTTTTACTTCTCTTAAGAGAACACTGGGTGGTTTATGCTAGTGGTTTAAGAAGATATTGTGCTATGAGTAATGTGATCGTTCACAAATAAAATGATGGGAAATGCCTCTTCCCTTATATATATAATGTTCGTGGGTCATTGACAAATAAAGCTTCAAAACTAGTTTTAAACTAGTTTCAGTTATTAAACAACATTAAAAAGTGTTTAAATTCCTTTTTTGACTGTTTTTATGTTTATTAAATAGTCGTATGTAAATAGTGTAGTTGTACCACCTGACATGGAAAGTGTATCAACTTTGAAATTAGCAGTTTTTATGAGAGATCTACAAACCTTTTCTCTCTGCAACAAGGATCAGTCGGGCTCCTCTGGATGATGCATTATCATATTTACTGTTATTACCTTGTCAATTCATAATACAAGACTCATGTTTGCAGTTGTGCCACCCTGACATTTGGGAATATACACACACACACATATATATATATATACACTCACCGGCCACTTTATTAGGTACACCTGTCCAACTGCTCGTTAACACTTAATTTCTAAGCAGCCAATCACATGGCGGCAACTCAGTGCATTTAGGCATGTAGACATGGTCAAGACAATCTCCTGCAGTTCAAACCGAGCATCAGTATGGGGAAGAAAGTTGATTTGAGTGACTTTGAACATGGCATGATTGTTGGTGCCAGAAGGGCTGGTCTGAGTATTTCAGAAACTGCTAATCTACTGCGATTTTCACGCACAACCATCTCTAGGGTTTACAGAGAATGGTCCGAAAAAGAAAAAACATCCAGTGAGCGGCAGTTCTGTGGGCGGAAATGCCTTGTTGATGCCAGAGGTCAGAGGAGAATGGCCAGACTGGTTCGAGCTGATAGAAGGGCAACAGTGACTGAAATAACCACTCGTTACAACCGAGGTATGCAGCAAAGCATTTGTGAAGCCACAACACGCACAACCTTGAGGCGGATGGGCTACAACAGCAGAAGACTCCACCGGGTACCACTCATCTCCACTACAAATAGGAAAAAGAGGCTACAATTTGCAAGAGCTCACCAAAATTGAACAGTTGAAGACTGGAAAAATGTTGCCTGGTCTGATGAGTCTCGATTTCTGTTGAGACATTCAGATGTTAGAGTCAGAATTTGGCGTAAACAGAATGAGAACATGGAACCATCATGCCTTGTTACCACTGTGCAGGCTGGTGGTGGTGGTGTAATGGTGTGGGGGATGTTTTCCTGGCACACTTTAGGCCCCTTAGTGCCAATTGGGCATCGTTTAAATGCCACGGCCTACCTGAGCATTGTTTCTGACCATGTCCATCCCTTTATGGCCACCATGTACCCTTCCTCTGATGGCTACTTCCACCATGTCACAAAGCTCTAATCATTTCAAATTGGTTTCTTGAACATGACAATGAGTTCACTGTACTAAAATGGCCTCCACAGTCACCAGATCTCAACCCAATAGAGCATCTTTGGGATGTGGTGGAACGGGAGATTCGCATCATGGATGTGCAGCCGACAAATCTGCGGCAACTTTGTGATGCCATCATGTCAATATGGACCAAACTCCCTGAGGAATGCTTCCAGCACCTTGTTGAATCTATGCCACGAAGAATTGAGGCAGTTCTGAAGGCAAAAGGGGGTCCAACCCGTTACTAGCATGGGGTACCTAATAAAGTGGCCGGTGAGTGTATATATTATATATATTATTATTATATATTATATATACACACACATTTAAATGATCTCAACAGCTGTAAAACAACTTTTATTTATAAAGTTATAAAACGATGCCATATTATTTAGTGTTTAATTTTGTATTATTAAGACACCATTTTAAATAGTTTCTTAGTCTGTTCATTTGTTCAGACAGTTGCACCACCTGACATTTTGTGGGTTTAAGTTAACAAAAACATCAAATAATATGTAGATTATTTAAATGTACTAAAGATGTATTCAAAGGAAATGGTGTTTATAGAACAAAGTGATATGTCATGAATTTATCTAATAATTTTAAAAGGAAATAATGCACTTGGACACAAATATACGTCATGTCATTGACCCTCATACATTGTGTACTTTGAAAAAAAACGTAATATTTTACTGTAAAAGTATAGGCATATAGGCTACTGCATATAACAAACTTATTTCTCTGTAAAACGTAACGATTTTTCTTTTCCTCCCGCAAAGACGAAAATCTTCCAATGATTGTGTAGAATTAACTCAGCTTTAGAAAAAAAAATTAAATCCGGCCACCGGGGTAAAATAAATAAATAAATAAATAGTTTCTCTGACTTACTGGATGTTTTTTTCTGCTTTAATATCCAGGGGCGGGAGATCATGATCAGGCGCGTGATGCAGCTCACCGCCGCAGACGCGCGTGCTATATAAACCCCGCGCGCACCACAACCGGATTACAACCAGCACAAGCTGTCAGAGAGAGAGAGAGAGAGACAGACACACAGACAGACAGACAGAGAGAGAGAGAGTGCTACTGAAATCACTTGTTCAGAAGAGACTTCGAAAACAAACGCGCCATGGAGGCTGGAACGAGAGGGATGCACTGGAAACTTTTGTTACTTTTTTGTCTTTTAGCGGACGGGATGAGCCAGGACTTCGGACAGACACAGTTCATTTGCACGTCCGTTCCCAAGGATATGGACATATGCGCCGCCACACTGCAGAACAGCGTTCCCGGGGAGGACCTCAAGAGCACGGTCATGCAACTGCGAGAGACTGTGCTCCAACAGAAGGAAACGATCATGAACCAGAAGGAAACCATCAGGGAACTGACTTCCAAGCTGACGCGGTGTGAAAGTCAGAGCGCATCCGAGCCCGGAGACGCGCGGGTCGGCGGACGACGGAAGGAAATGGGCACCAAGAACACAATGGGAGATGTGTCGAGGGGTCCCACGGACACACTGGCTCAACTCTCGCAGACTTTACAGTCACTCAAGCAGAGGCTTGAAAACCTGGAGGTATGTTTGTTCTCCTGGAGCGCTTTCTTCCATCCGCGGTGGATTATTATTTATAGGAGAACGCATTCAGTTGCGATTCTCACAACTTTATTTTTAGAATAGTACACCAATGGTGTATTCAGCGGTGCTGAATAATGGCGCATAATCCTCTTTTAAAAGACGCATTACGCCTACCGAGACTGCTGACAGAAACCCGTAGATTAAAATGAAATAATTAAATTAATATTAAAATAACTATTCAGAATCTTTCACACCATGACCAGTAAGATGAGTCTTGCTTAGGCTACTTAACGTTTAAACGCATTTGTTTTGTTTTTTTTACGTAAACTAGCCTATTTTCTGATAATGAACATTGTAACATAAAAATGTAGGAATAACAAATGCATGATATAAAAATGTAGGAATACAAAAAAAAACTCTTAACTAAAAAAATGCATTATAAACAGTGTGCAGTTGTTTAATAATCATAATCTGGACCCTTTAAAATTACTTTTTATTTGTGTAACTTAATTCATTCAGGTTAATGGATCAAATATGACTTCAGTCATTTTGATTACATGGAATACATTTACTCGATATTTCATAGCACCAGTGCGCCTTTCTTATAAGGTTGGCGTTTTTTCTTTTTCTTTATGTAAACTCAAATGAAACATTTATCTCACAAACAAATGTTCACAATTATCTTTCATAGCAATTCAGCCGGAATAACAACTCCGTCCAGGCGAACAGCTTGAAGGATCTTCTTCAGAACAAAATCGACGACCTGGAGAAGCAGGTCCTGTCCCGTGTGAACGGATTGGAGGAAGGGAAGCCCGGGTTGCGCAACGAGAGCGAGCAGCGCGGGCGCGTGGAGTCCACTCTCACCTCACTGCACCAGAGAATAACCGATCTAGAAAAAGGTAACCGTTCGCGTTTCTGCTCCACCTATCACATGCGTGTCGTGTAGATGTAACGAGCGCTTTCCTTACCTGCTTTTTTTTTCTACGAGGGAAATACTCTTGAGCGAGCCAGCATGGATAATAAATTGCCGTCGTGGTGTCGCTGGTGTGTCGCAGAGAGGAGGGGGTCTACAGAGCTGCATTGCTTTGCATATCCAATTCCACCCAACCAGCTTTATAGCATGATTTACAGAGAGTTTTTTGCAAGCTCATGCGTTTTTTGAATTTCCATTCATGTGAATCACGTTTTCGTCAGTCATTAAAATGCATAATTTCCCGCAACCTTTTACAGTCTTAAAGGCATGAAGGGAACTTTACGGGATGTGGATTTTCATCATTACCCACCCTCATTTTATTCCACACAAATAATTTCTTCTGTGAAGTACAAAGAGACTTGTACTTGTACCAAGCTGAGCTTTTCCATCCAATCACATCACCAAGCTTTAATTATGTTTTTATAGATCGTTTAATCACCCAATAATAAAAATTGATCACCCAATAATAAAAATGATCCTATCATTTACTCACCCTCAAGCCGTCCTAGGTGGATATGAGTTTCTTATTTCAGCCAAACACAGTCGGAGTTATAGTAAAAAAAAAAATATCCTGGCTCTTCCAAGCTTTATAATGGGAGTGAAGGGGGCTTAAGATTTTAAAGCCCAAAAAAGCACATCCATCCATCATAAAAGTAATCCATAAGTGTGACCTCTGACCCGACGCATGACGTATATGTAGGAGTATAGCGTAAGCTTAGGTGAGAGTGAACGCCTATCGTGGTTCAAACAACAAACATAAGCTTCTCCCATATTTCTCTTTAAAAAAAAAAATTTGTTTTAGACTTCTAATTCTTGACCGGTGTTTTGTTTTACTCTATCCTCTGCGCTTCCGCGTTTGTCACTACGTCATGCGTTGGGTCAGAGGTCAATCTTCCACCGGAACTAGACTCGCGTACGACCCTTACCGGACGCCAGTGATTACAGTTTATAAAGTCATAAATAGGGATATTTTTTCTTACAAAACTGCATTGCTTCACTTCAGTTAACCTTTACTAGGCCTTTATTAACCCCTTGCAGCCATCTGGATAACTTTTATGATATATGGTCGAATGCGCTTTTTTTGGGGCTTCAAACTCTAAGGTACCCTTAACTCGCATTATAAAGCTTGGAAGAGCCAGTAATTTTTTTTAATATAACTCTGTGTTTGGCTGATAGAAGAAAGTCATATACACCTAGGATGGCTTGAGGGTGAGTAAATCTTGGGATCATTTCCATTTTTGGGTGAACTAACCCTTTAATGACTAATTGATCAAATCAATAAAATTGTTACTGAAAATAACCATGAATAGCATAATTGATTAGACGAGTTTTTGCACTGTGTTCACAGAACCTCATCCACCCTCATACGAGGAGCATATAATGCATTCAGTGGCAGCGGTCAGAGCGAGCTGTAATAGAAAAGTGCACGACGCAAGTGGCCAAAAAGCATGAGCGCACTTTATATGAGCTGCTTCAGAGAAGTTAATGAGCATCTAGTTTCATGTTGCCTGTCAGCTTGTGTCAGATTAACGCTCTTTACAAGGGGTTTGCCCTAGCCTGGTACATAACTCACATTTTACTGTTATTCGTATCTGTAAATGTTATCAATTCAGGACAGAAAGGGATAAATCATTGTGACTAAATATTCATGTTGATAAATATTTGTGTTTTGATGTTACATTAGGTAACTGTATTTTATAAGAACAGTACCAGTAATGGGATCATAAAGAGTCTTACATCTATAATGTAAATGGCAGTAATTTGTTACTACTACGCATGTTCAAAAAAAGGTAATTTGTATATTGTTTGGATGAAAACATTGAGCAGGATTTGGAATAAAATAACAGATTAATTGATTAGAAATCATGTTTAATATGTCTTGATGTAAGAGGTTTGTAGGAATAACAACTTGCAGTCTAGCGATTGTATGACTTGTTTAAGACTTAAGGAGCAGCGTGTTTAACACATTCGTTATTGTTCCATGGAGGAGAGAATATTGTATGGGTTTGGAACAACTTGAGAGTGAGTAAATCGTATGACAGAATGTAGTTTTTGGGTGAACTATTCCTCTGCCTGAGACCAGGAATGATGGCAACCATTGATTGCGGCTTTTACTCCTTGTTACCTGTAGCGCGAATCAAACACAAGGGTAGAAATAAGTAAGACGAGGGAGGCTCCCAGGTGGGAGGACAGAACTAGTGTGCTTTTCTTTCCCCAGGCGAAAAGAAACAAATAAATCAATAGATGTTTTTGGTTGTTATTATTATTTCTTATAAGTATACTTTAAAACACACCTTGTTTTTTTGCTTTTATTATATTTTCTTTATAGGATTACATTTATAGACGGCAATGAATAGTTGATTAGAATTATGTATAGAGATTTTGTATGCGTTTAGCCGAGTTTCCACCACAGGAACTTTCCCCAGGAACTAGGGACTTTGGGGTGGTACTTTCCATCGCAGGAACCAGGGTCTAATGTCACCCTCAGAAAGTCCCTGCTGGCGAGGTAGTACTTTCTCAAAGTTCAGGAACTTTCGGGGGTGTGACTTGGGCGCTGAACATGCTGATTGGTTGAGAGCTAATGCCGCATTTTGATTGTTGACTCCGCTGCATTTTATTTCAACCACCATTTTTAAATCTGTTGCGTTGCGTGCAGTAAGAGTTGTTTGCTACTCGAATCAACAGTGGAGTTTAAAAAGTACGAACGATGATCCGATGGACCGACGACGAAGTTCTGGCTTTATTAAGCTTAAATTCAGAGGATTGGAATACAGCGGGAACTGGAAAGTAGTGCGCAGTCCTACGTCACCGGACTAATTTGCATAATCCTCATGGTACTTTAGACCACGATGGAAACTGAGACCGCAACATGTCTTGGGGAAAAAAAGTTCCTGGGACAATTTGGTCCGGGTAATTTCGTGGAAATGTGGCTGTACAGTTATTTTGCTATACAGTTATCAATTTTGCTATTCAGTTATACTGCTATATAGTAAACTGCAATGGTAAGATGTTAAATATTGTTTTAGGATTGATGTTTGTATTTATTTCTTTTTTTAATAACAGGTCAAAAGGACAACAGACCACTGGATAAATTTCAGCTGACGTTCCCTCTGAGGACCAACTACATGTATGCTAAAGTCAAGAAGAGTCTGCCGGAGATGTACGCCTTCACAGTGTGCATGTGGCTCAAATCCAATGCCTCTCCAGGAGTGGGGACGCCTTTCTCTTACGCAGTCCCAGGACAGGCCAATGAACTGGTTCTTATTGAGTGGGGAAACAACCCAATGGAAATGCTCATCAATGACAAGGTACATTCCCACTCTATCGGCATTTATTTGGATGGATGGATGGATGGATGGATGGATGGATGGATGGATGGATGGATGGATGGATGGATGGATGGATTGGATGGATGCATGGATGGATGGATTGGATGGATGGATGGATGGATGGATGGATGGATGGATGGATGGATGGATGGATGGATGGATTGGATGGATGGATGGATGGATGGATGGATTGGATGGATAAATGCATGGACTTAAAGCAGCCAGTCTGCATCAAAATTAACGTGATGTTTAGGTTTCATCGGTTTTTGCCCTCTTTTGATGTAGGTTGCTAAGCTACCTTTCCTGATCAACGATGGGAAATGGCATCACATTTGTATCACATGGACCACTCGAGATGGAGTGTGGGAAGCTTATCAGGATGGTGTAATGAGGGGAAATGGGGACAGTCTGGCCCCTTATCATCCAATCAAACCACAAGGGGTATTGATTCTGGGACAAGAGCAGGTATGCGTCCTCTGTTTGATTTCACTCATCAATACAGAAAAGTGTTGTAGCCCAAGGTGTTACACAAAGATGATTTAATGATGAGCGAAGAATACACAATGGCTCTGTTCCAAAACACAGCGAGCTGCCTACATAGCTGCATTTTAAGGCATCGCAGGCTTTCTCCCATGCAGAGGCTCCTCCAAACGCAACTGCCTTGTACAACACCTTGTTTTTTTGCCAAATTAACAGGCAGCATGACATGTATTCTTCTCAGATAAGACAATCCAATAATTTATTGTAGCAAGCAATTCATTTAAAATTTTCAACAGTCTTAAAAAGATATATTTGAAAAACATACATAAATAATATTTAATGTTTTGTATTTTTATGGTATTGGTGGATCACATACTAGCTTAGAAATATTTAGTGCTAAACACTATTGTGAGTTTGTGTAAGGGGCACAATTTCAATAACATTACAACGCATGTAAATGTTCACTTAGGAAGTTACATTTTAGTTAGGATGCTGCCTAAAGGCGTGGTCACATTTGCAAAATTTCGGCGAAGTTTCGCAGGTGAAAATAGGCTAATTTTCTATGCTCAAAAGTGTAGCGATGTATGACGCCCAGATCACTTTTAAACCAAGCAACTCGTCTAATCCGTATGACCTATATTATATTATATTATATTACCTATATTATCACCACATATTTGCGGTGTAAGTGTCACTGATTGGATAAATACCGCATGTGATATGCTTACATAAGGGCTCTACACTAGCATTGCGCATCCTGATATTATATATTGCCGACTGTACTATTATGTTAATTCTGAATGGACGTTTTGAATTACAAAGGTAAGATTGAAACAGTCTCTTCTTCACTCCAATTGTCACGTCTTCTGTCACCATTTGACATTTTTCCCCTCAAATGCTGAAACTACTTTTTATACAAAGCACTGTGTTTGAATGACAGACCAAAACATGTGAATATGAGGCACGCTATTGGTTCATAACATACTAACACCGCTTTGTTTCACACTGTACAAGTTTGGCACCACAATGCAGGGTTAACACCGTAAAAGCAGTGCTAACCCTGCTCCGGAGCAGGGTTTCATAACCCTGGGTAAAAAAACATGCTAATCCCGCTTCTAAATTACAAGTGTGAAACGCTCCTTCATCCGGGGTTATAAGCAGGGTTTAGAACGCCCGTTGGTGTTTTAAGCCCCCAACGGATCCTTCAAGGCAGCGCTGCATGGAAGGGGCTCCCCGCCCCCTGCCGCGTTTCAGCCAATCGCTGCAAAATCTACCATTGCCAATCTGTTCACAGTTAGCTAGATAGCTGAGCATGTCCGGCCGGCGGCAAAGAAAATCCCTAGCAGCTAGTGTGGGCTATATTTCAAAGCATAGTCATTTTTTTATAATAATAAAACATTTCATTATGAATTCAGATCTTAGAATATTGCTCTATGCAACTTACCGTACCAAGTTGAGTGGAGTCAAGATTGATCGCTCGTTGGTTCTCAAAGTTGAATGCGAGCACCATTGTTGCGATTGGCTGAAAGGCGGCATGGGGCGGGGAGCGCCTTCCATGCAGCGCTGCCTTGAAGGCTCCATTGGGGGCTTATAACACCAACGAGCGTTTAGCCCGACGATAACCTGGGGTAAAAGGGGCAGTATGTAATATTGACAGCTAGTGGTTAAAATGAGTACTGCAGTCCAAATAAAAAAATATTGGAGAGAGTTGTTTGCCCCACCCCCTCCTCCTCAATGCTCATGCGGGTTGCCAGATTGAGGACACCAACGGGAGCAAGCGCAATTAACAATTGAAGGGCAGGTGACTTAGGTTAGTCAGTTTACCGTTTTTTTTTTTCTGCACCATTATGAACCGCCCCCAAAAAAGCATGACTTAAACCAGATTCTAATTTTCTAATTAAATTCATTTTGGAAATGATCCGGTTGCCTCTATGTTCTTTAATTTGCACAAAACTTTCCACTCCCATCTGCGCTTTTTTGGAATTGCGCTAATTTGCCCTGTTTATTAAATCTGGCCTTTAATCTGGAAGTTGATGAGTTGATTTATCCGTGTTTTAACATGATCCCATTCATAAAGATTTGTAGATGGATGCCGAGGCTTTTTAGGTCGGGTAGAATATGCGATCTCTGGCCAATTTCGTTTGCTGGCTTCCATGGCTGCAATACGCTGTGTTTTCAACAAACTGGCAACCCGGGGTGTCGAACTATTATTGGGTAAATTGGCAGCTGGTGGAATCACACATATAGAAATAAAAACAGAAATTCCAACACAGAACACACATTTCAAAGTAGAATAACTGCCGGTATCATTGTTTTTATGTGAATTTAGCATGTTTTCTACAATATCTGCAAACATTTTATGGTATTTTTATGATTTAGTACAGTCAAAGAATTACATACAGCACCTTTAAGCACAGTGTGAAAAGCCCTTAGAGGTCAACACACTATGTTTAGTTTCAGAGCCAATTATACGAAGTTATCACTGTAAACAGTCAGTTCTAAAATACTCTATAGCACAGCCAATAGACAAGAAGGTTTGGGCTCATTTTAAATGGAGAGACCTTCAAAGACGACTGTAGGGATGAAACGCATTTATGAATCATTTATGTGCAGATTAGCTTCAAAGGTTAACAGGGACTAATCGTATGTCTTTGAAGGCATTCAACGTTTATTTTATCAGCATCTCAAATAAATGTTATCTACCTGCAGGACACTCTCGGTGGAGGGTTTGATGCTACTCAAGCGTTTGTCGGTGACATGGCCAATTTCAACATTTGGGACCGAAAGCTGTCCGTGGGAGAGATTTATAACTTGGCCACATGCAGCAGCAAAGCACTAGTGGGGAACGTCTTCTCTTGGTTGGAAACCAGCATTGAGATCTACGGAGGGGCCTCGAAATGGACATTTGAGGCCTGCCGCCAACTGAACTAAAGAGCACAGAAATCTCCCAGCCAATGGGAGATACGAGTTACCAGGGGTCTGTTACCAAATCATTCATCTTTAAAGCACATTTTCAATCAAGGCCGAACATGGACATCAATATCAACGGGAATTTTCTAGATATTTCTTGTCTCTTAACACTTCTCAGTCCTAAAAACGATCACGTCTTTGTCATTTATTTTTGGATGTGGAAGGCAAAAGCTGGTGTTGGTGATAATTCAGAGTTTTAGCTTGAAGGCACCGTGGTTCTGCTTTAGGCAAGCAACGCCTTACTGGAAAACTACTTAACGTGATACGGCTCAGACTTCCATCTTAACAGCCTGGATCATTTGACCGCTCCCTGCGTACAGGAAGCCATGTAGTCATGCAGTAGATTTCTGAACCACTTAGGTTACTGTTCTCCATCAGGATTATTAGATAGATCTATCCACTGCCTGGGATACTCACTGTGAACTTCGGATGTAGAATGTAAAACAAGCAAAGCTGAGTGTGTTATTCTTTTTTCACACGCTTCTGTTCTGTCTTATCACCTCCTGCTTGAAGCATTTTTTTTTTTTTTGGTGTGTCTGTGTATGTGTGTGTGGGTTGTTAAAAAAAATAACTTGATAATTGCCAACACATTTCAAGCCTGGGTGCCTTGGGCTGTTGAAAAAAAAAAACTCGACACATTTGTCATTATTTGCAATGTACTTCTATTTATCTCTTTCTTTCCTTGTGTAACTACTGATACGTTATGTTGATTACAACTTGTCACAATTGAAATGGTCAGGCTGGTAATTCAGTTGTTTAAATCGTGGCGTGCTCGGCAGGTGTTTGTATTTTTCAAGGAATGTTACGTGTAAAGAAAACAGCATGAACATCTAAATGCTGCAACAGCATCAATGAACAATTGCTTTTATTAGCTCATTTTGGGTTGAGATTTTATACTGTATTGTTATATGCTAAAAGCATGGCAGCACTGAAAGATGAAAAAGGTCTAAGTTTTGTAATAAAATTGTTATACAAAAAATAGCACACGTGTTAGTGCCTAAATGATTGATTTTGCCATAAACATATGCCATGAACTGCTGGGAAAAAATACATTCAAAAGTTTGGGGTCAGTAAGTATTTGAATAAATAAATACTTTTATTCAGCAAGGATAAATGATCAAAAGTGACGCTATAAAGACATTTATAATGTAATAAAAATGTCTTTATAATTAAATTATGTTCTTTTGAACGTTCTATTCAAGAATCTTCTAATCAATTAATCCTGAAAAAGAAAATCATGGTTTCCACAAAAAATATTAAGCACTACTGTTTCCAACATTGATAATAATCAGAAAGATTTCCGAAGCACCAATGATTTTTGAAGAATCAAGTGACACTGAAGACGGGAGTAATGACACCCCGTTACATATTAGCATATTAATATTTTAAATTGTAATAATATTTCACAATATTACTTTTTACTGTATTTTTAATCAAATAATGCAACCTTGGAAAAGAGATTTTCTTTAAAAACATTAAAAGATCTAACCGACCTCACACTTTTGGACTGTAGATGTTATACCCACATAGCTAGACTTTTAAATATTGGCATACTCTCTGGTCCCAGGTTTTAGTTTGTTCTGGTCAAGAACCACTCACTTAGAAAGAAAAAGAACATCTTACCAACATGTAAATATGGTATGCCATGAACAATGCAAGCAAGCAATTATCAGGGCCAATCACAAAGAACATGTCATGCCAACATGGCTGGGAGCATCAGACCAAATGCAACAATGAGCAATTGAAGACCATTTTAAGAAAATTGGCTGGAAAATCATAAGTACAATCATTAGTAATTTGATTTAATGGTTTATCACTTTAGACCAATAGGTGGTGCTATGACCAACTTGATGTGTTGTGGTCAGAGTAAGGTGACATAACATGCAAAGTTTGGGGTCAATATGTCAAAGCATTGCAGAGATACAACATCAGAGTCATTTTGGCATCATGCCTCAACTTTGTTGCTGCAGTATACGAAAACGGTTTCGTCGATCGACACGAAAACCATAACTTTTTGTCAGCACTGTCTGAAGATGACGTGACTCGAATTTGGTTGGGAAAAATACGTTTTTAAAGAAAATCAAAATGGCGGACAGGAAGTTAGGACGACTATGGCAAAATTGGTAAATGTTCTCGGCATGACCTAAGAATCTCTTAAGACCAATTTCATTACAATTAGGGATGACCCGATCAGGTTTTTTTGCCTCCGAGTCCGAGTCATTTGATTTTGAGTATCTACCGATACCAAGTCCCGATCCGATACTTATATAATACATTAAAAAAAATAAAGAAGAGAGAAAAAACAGATCCAGGATGTTCCTTATTTTTTTATTTAATTCACCTTATTTTAACGTTCAACAACTCTGTTAACAAACAGAGCACTTCTGTGAGGTAGCTTGAACAATCAAGTAATAAATAACATAAAATCTTCACTTTTTGACTTTAGTGCAACAGTAAATATAGAAAAAGTCTAATATAAAAACAAATAGCACCTCAACTTAAAATACCCGGCAGGCATGTAAACAAAAAATAAAAATGTTTTAAAAGTGTATAAAAAAATAATGAGAATATATATATATTAGGGGTGTAACAGTTCACAAAATTTGCAGTTCGTTACGATACAGCAAAAAGAAAGAAATGCCAGAGAAATTTCCTATTTATTAAAAGAAAAACTATTTTTAAATAAGTTTGAGTTTTCCTACATCTTGAAACTTTCAGGTTTATAAATGGGGGTAATCTTTGAAGGATGAACAAATAATGTTTTGGTAATCACATTAAAAATAACATTTAAATATATATTTATATAATATTTGAGTTTTGAAGTGCAACATTAAATCCATGTTTATTCACGGCACAATGTTTCTCCTGGTTCCCACGTCAGCGCTGTTTGATCTAATAGAGATTTACGGTTAATAAGGGAGACATTTGAATGCTTCTCACTAGATCTCGCAGCGATGTTATTACTTCAGTGGCGAATTCAAATGTTTTCTTCACTGGATCTCTTAGCACAGTGTCGCTTGATCTCACGCTGCACAGATGTTGCTGGTCCGAACTGATAAACGGTCCGTTAAGCAGCACAATATAATGAGAAGCGCAGTTTCGTTCCGCTTACATTACGTTTGCCATTTGATGTTGCGCAACGTTGTGGTGATCGCGCCAGCGCAGATTTTGTCTGCAAGAAAAATGGTCCTAGGAATCGTTCGGTTTGTATGCGTACCGAACCGGAAGCCTTGTACCGAAACAGATCAATAATAACGAATACATGTAAAGTCACAGACTTAATTTACATATATCCGAGTCCTGATCGGGAGGTAACGTCCGATTCCGATCGAGTCTGAGACCACGTGATCGGGCCCGATTTCCGATCGCGTGATCGGATCAAGACATCCCTAATTACAATAGGCTAATTTTATTAAAAGTTATTATCATTTATGTAAATTTCAATATAACTTTTTGACTACTGTCGGGGCTTAGTCCTGAAGACACATTTCGAGTTTTGTAACAATATGCCAATGCGTTCATAAAATATGTAATTTTTTACGACAAAATTCAAATTGGCCAATATGGGGAAATTGGGTATCGTTCAACTCGGCATGCTGCACCAAATCTAAAGAGACCGTTTAAAAGTTATAAACAAATTAGGAATTTTTCATATCTCCTGACCACTAGGTGGCACTGCACTGAAACTGTCCAGGTAACCTCAGGTCATGGTTGTCATAACACACACCAAGTTTGGTCAGAATACACTAAAGCGTTATGGATATATAGCCTTGCGTTCATTTTGGCACGCTCTTCGTCAAATTCGCTCGCACGTTATTCGAGAACGGTTTGACAAATCAACCTGAATTTCATAACTTTTTGGTGGCATGTTCTGAAGATGATCTGGTTCAATTTTCGTGAAAATCTGGTATTTCTAATAAGTTTCTGGTATGCCTAAAAAGACCTTGATTAGCTGGTTCAGGTAAGTTTAATTGGGTTTTGAGCTGAACTCTGCAGGACACTGGCCCTTCGTGAGCAGGATTGGACACCCCTGCTTTAGGCAGCACACAATTTAGTGGAAAAGTGTAAACAAAAATAAGTACTGATTATTTCACAGAGAAGAAACAAAGGCGAATATACAGTATACCGTATCATATTAACTTGGTACGGTACCATTTAAAGAGAATTTAGTTTCTTGACACACTGATAAAAGCTTTGCACAACTCCTAGAAGCTGAATGGTAGACAATCTGATGTGATCTTCATAAATGCTCATTTTGTGTGCTAAATATGTATTAGACAGTCAGTGAAGGCACTGTGTGCGGTCTGTGGGAGTTGTCTCTGAGGATTGGAGACTATATTACAAGTAACATTTGATTTGCTAGCATTTTTTTCTACATTTGTCCTGCAAATCTGACTGAATGCAATCGCTTCTGGCTGCACACGCTTGATATTATTCATTGTTCGATTGTGAAATGTGTCAGAACACAATTCATAATGCAATGCAAGAAGCACTGCAACTTCTTTTTTTAACGTTTTGTGTTGCGGTTCCTCATAAATTTACCAACCAACTGGGAAAAAGGCTGTTTTTTTAAAAGCATATGGTGCAGAGTGGATATGTTTTGACTCCATTGCAGACTTTTCACTTAAATACTGCAGACTATTAGCTTAAACTGCAGAATGCTCAACAATTGTGTCCAAAACCTGTGAATTTAACTCAAAATCCTATAGCAACACAACAGTAATGTGAACACTGTTGATCTTTTTATAATGGCTTGGTCTCAGAACACAAATATATCAGCATTCCAATACACAGATATTTTCATATTTTTGACAGAAACAGATTAGGACTATCCTTTGTAAATTTTTTAGCACACCTGAAACCCAATCTTCTGTTCAACAAAGAAGGTTCATTTTCTTTTCCTGGATTGCAACATACTGTCATTCCAAGTTCAATTTCGGTGATATTTATTTATTCATTTCAAAATGAAGGTACTTCCATATATACGATGGCCAAGTAACTGAAGATTTCATACAAAGGTGTCCACAGCTGCTTTGAGAAAAGAGGGCAAATTGTAACAAAGACCGAGAACCGCTCAAGCGGACACATACAGCAGAGTAAAAGACACTCAGCTGCTAGGTTTAGAGGAAAGGTTAAAAAAAGCTGAAACTGAAAAATAAAAAGTGAAGATAAACGAGCTGGATGGTGGGTGACTGACAAGAGTATTACGGACAGATGAGTTTGAGGGGTTTCGGTCAAGGAAGAGAGGAGATGTAAAACATAGGGCAAATGAATCGATGCTTGACGCCTTCTGTCAAGCATGAATGAAGTGCTTTGGGGCTGGTGAGCTGGGAGATTGATACAGAGTGCAAGGAACACGAAATGTTACCTTTCTATTTCACAACGTCTTGTCGTTCCCTGTGGTCAGCACTTGATTGGTTCCAATTTCATCATGCTGCAAGTACAAAGATTCGAAGCATATTTCAGAGCAATGCAAAACCTATTTGGGGAAGGAACAGAGAGTACTGTCTTTGGACTAGCATGCATTATCGCCAGATTTAAAACCTATTGAGCTCCTGAGGGACAAGCTTAAGTGTAAGGTCAGAGAAAAAATGCCCTACAAGCCAGTCGCACCTCTGGGAAGTGCTGCAGAATGTGTGGGTTGAAATCTTCCCTGAATATCTTTAAAACCTCACGGCTAGAAAGTTTCTGCAAAGCTGTATGCATGGCTGCAATAATGTTAGAAATGTAACAGTGCTCAGACAATCATTTCTATACTGATTTATCTTGGTAAATAACAGTACCACATTCTGTCTGAACACAAACATGTTTAGATCAGTCCAAACTTTTGAATGCTGGTGAGTAGTATCTCGCTCTAAGTTACATCCAGCAGAGCCATTACTGGACATATTGTATTTCCTGGACATCCTGAAATATACGCCCAGCCCCCAACATACACATCTTCCAGCATCCCTCCTATTCACAAGTGTATTGCCAGGATA